AAAATCCTTCAAAACTTGTCTGACCTGTCCTACCGGCTACTGGTCGGAGACGCTTTATTGTGTCCTCTACATCTCGTCTGATCTCATAGAACGACTCGCATCGATGCAAGATAAATGACCGCCATAGAAAATCTCCAACAGTTAGATATTGCAGGTTCAGCTTTGGGATAGCGAGAGGCTGTGATCCATCGAATCCATCATTCCTGAGCAGGGTTCTTTCAAAAAGAGTACTTTCTGTTGGAAGAATGCTCAAGTCACGTGCAGTTTCCTGAAATGTCTTGCGCTTTTCATGTGTTGATAAAAGAATTTCCAAGAGAAATTTACGGTCTACTACAACCTTGTTAGACGATGGATAAGACGTCCGTAGGTCAAGAAGCTCGCAAAGCTCTGTCATCTCGGCATCTGTGAGGGATTCTAAATGACCCTCAAGCTCCACCCGCTTATCAATAGACGAATAGTTGGACAACGCAAGAATAGTCAGCTTTTCCTTGAAATGCTTGAGTGCAGTTCTTTGCAGGGATGCTAGTGTTGCACAATGGCGTTCATATGCTTCCGTGCGGCTATGTTGAACGCCTGTATGATCATTAATTGCAAAATATGTGTAATGCTTCAAAAGCGCATATAGATCTCGTAGAAGCCCGTTCTCCTCCTCATTGAATGCTGGGGATAGTCTGATAGTTGGAAGAAGGTGAAGATCTTGTAGAAGTGTGTTCACGTATCTCCTGGTTGGCAATTGGCTCTGAAGATCCGATAGAAACTCTATAAACCTTTCGCAATACTGTACATTTTCTGTTTCGTGTGTTAGCCAAAGGAATTGATCATAGTGATAGCAAGGGCTTCAACAAACCTGTCTTTATTTTGTCTCCGTAGAGTTGATTGAAAAAATCCAGAATTAGAGTCAAGAGCCAAGATCGCTCAAACCTAAGTCTAGCTTTCGTAGGTTCATCAGAGGCATCATATCGTTTTCCGGCAGCCCTCCAAGCTTTCTTCAGTTGTACAGTATGATCGAGTATCTTTTCTCTTTTCTTCTCTGTTGAGATGTTGTGCCAAATGGATATTGAGACCAAAGGTGCGCATTCTTTCCGAACTATGCCATTGTCTAGTGACTGGAATGCGCTTATTATGAATGATAACAGGTTCGTGCGAATCGTCGCAGAGAGGGTAGTATCCAATGTCATAGACAAGATTCGGCGGAAGAGGGTTGAGAAATCAGGTGTATTGTCCGCAAAGATATCTATGTCCATCAGCATGACGAATTGAAGCTTCCTTAATAGTACTTACCCCAAGTTGGCAGATGTTCTCTAGTCCTTACATTGACAATGAGAACTATGAGAAGTATATGAAAGTTGGAAGCATCTTCTGAATAACCCGGCCAAAGGTAACTAGCATTGTTGTCAGTAATAGTTCCTACATTGAATGTCTGGACAGATGAATGTACTTCTCAAGAATGTGAAGATTTTCTAGCGTCAAAAGGGATCTATAAGAGAAGTCTTCCTGCTCTAAAACATCCCAGATTTCTTTCTTGATAACATCAGGCTTGACCTTAACCTTCGTGGCTTTCTTCGAAGGTTTCAACCAATATTTTGCGGCAAGTTGCGAAAATGAGCTTTCGTCCTGTGTTTCCTCCGCAGACGGCACTCCCATAGTTTCTTCAACAGCCTTTCCCTGGCCTCTTCCTTTCGTCCTCGGGGCCATTGTTGTTATCGGTGGTATTGACTGGCAATTCGTATTGCGCGCGTCGGTCGCGTGTAAACATCTTATCGTCCTGATAATTTTTGGAAGCTTGGTGCACCAGTGCTCTTACACGTGATGACTAAGCAGAAATTCGCCGTATCTAGATTGACGTCGCGATAACCTTTACTTCTCGCAACAATTAATTCTACCACCAACCTTGGAAACCTTTCAAATCACATCTTTTCGTCGGCGCCAGTACGAAAGGGTTTTGTGAATTGACATCGAAACACAACATGGCTGTCAGTATGGAGGGACACGGTCTTCCCGTTGTGGAATCTTTTGCGCAATTATTGTTGGAAATGCTTCAGCGGGCTGAACATGTCAAAGAAACACACACGATAGAGTCGCCATTGAGTAAAACGGAGCTTGCGAACACATACGAACGAATCGATCAGATATTCAACGAAGCGGCACCTATAGAAACTAAAAAGCGCAGTCAGTATGCGATCATCGAAACCGCTGTTCGAGATACTTTCAACAATTTACTGGTAAGCCATGCACCAGTACGAGTCGTAGATACCCTCTGACGACCCATAGGCCTCTATATCCATTGAAACTTCTTCCCCTTCCAGGTTGTGGAACCTCCTCGATATTATCTCCATCTTGTCTGACGATGAACAATGCGAACCTGCCCTTCTCTTTTGGCTCGTTGAAGAATTACTGGATAGTCAGACTATTGCGGGATGCCGGAGAATATTTGATTATCTTGAGTCACGACGTGAAAAAATTACTGCAAAGCATTTCAACCAGAAGAACTTAGTTATCTTGAGAAGCTGCAACGAGCTTTTGCGGCGACTTTCCAGAGCAGAGGATACTGCATTCTGCGGTCGCGTTTTCATTTTCATGTTTCAAAGCTTTCCCCTTGGCGATAAAAGCTCTGTGAATCTACGCGGTGAATTTCATGTCGAAAATGTTACATCTTTCGACACCATACCGTCCATTCCAACGGATGTTGAGAAGATGGAAGTGGATTCGGACAGCAATACGAAAGAAACTCCACCAACATCCAAGCCAGCATCAAATGGACGAACGAGCACGGCGAGAGGTTCTGAAGATGCCAATGGCTCAGGCAAGGATGTAGCATCATCAAAACGTGAACCGCCGATGAAGCCCGATGAGTTATACCCGATATTCTGGTCATTACAGCAGAGCTTCAGCCAACCGAAACGATTGTTCAATTCTGAGAATTTTGCCGAGTTCAAAAAGGGTCTGGAAGCTACAATAGCAACTTTCAAGTCGGTACACCATGAGACTGCAGGGCGTCCGGCAGCAAGGGTAGCAGAGGATAGTAAGAGGGGAACAAAAAGAAAGCGCGGTCAGGGAGACGATGACCTAGCTAATTCCTTCAATCCTAAATATCTCACAAGTAGGGACTTGTTTGAATTAGAGGTATGCTATCATCTAACACCCACAAATTCTAGCACGATGCTAACTCAACATTGCTAGATTAGTGATTTGTCATTTAGAAGGCATATACTTGTTCAAATTCTGATAATAATGGATTTCCTTCTTTCATTAAGCGCCAAGGCGAAAGAGAAGCTTTCAAAAGCTCTACCGGACAACCTCAATAGATCGGTAACTTATGCAGACCAGACGCTTAGTGAAGAGGATGTAAGTAACCCGTTTTCTGGACGCGTCTTTTAGTAGGTATTAGCTCACAATTTATAGACAAAGTGGTCATTAGATATGAAAAAATCGATTGCAGAATATCTGAAGAAAGGCGCGGATGGTGCCTTTTTTTACCGTATGGTTGAGACGGTTCTGTCCAGAGATAAGAACTGGGTTCGTTGGAAGGTCGAAAATTGCCCTTCTATTGCTAGACCAGCTGTTTCACCTCACGATTATATTACCGCTAAAGCGTCGGCTCGCAAAGCGACAACTAATAAACGATTGCGCCCTAATCCTCTAGGATCTTTAGATCTCAAATTTCTTGCGGAAAGCGACTTGCAGAGTGGCTTGGAGAGGTTGAAGAAACCAGAACGTTACCAAGTTCCTTCCATAAAGAGTTTCAAGAATAAAATCGAGCTGGACGATATGGATATCGATATGGCTCGAGACGAAGAATCAAAAAATGTGGCTATAGAAGCTAAAGCGAGCAAATGTTGGAGAGCACTACGGATCGCAGGTGCAAGCAAACTTGCTGCTTTTGACAAAATTGAGAAATCGGACAGCATTGACGAAATCTTCAAGGATGATATTAAACCCGAAGATCTTGTCGCCCCTGGCGATGAAGATGCGCTGGAAGGTGGGGAACAGAAAACTGAAGAGGGAAATGAGGCAGCGAAATTACCACCGACGGAAAATGAGGATGTTGATATGGAAAATAAGAAGGAAGAACAGCCAGATGTTCCAATGGTGCCCGGTACGGAATTGGGGACATGAGGTTGAAGATAGAAACGACAATGGTAGCTCAAGGTTGAAGATCAGCATGGTATGGACGATTTAAAAACACTCGGCCATCTGCAGAAAAATATGGTGTAGCGGAATCTACGTCATTGAAAACTGTACTTTTAAATGTACTATATAATACCCCCTTTATATCTCGCGCAGATATACTATATACCATAGCAAAGCTTAGTATAGCATTGCATTGCTATGAACGACTATCAACTACAGAAAAGACAAGATAATTCATTAGTATCATTCCGAGGCGGAACTCAATAGTGAAGTGCTTCAAAAAGAACACTTGAGCTGGACATTTCGCACGAATGCTCAAATTTATCTGGAGAATGAGTATAGACCATTATAGCAAATAAATCAAATAATGAACCACCGACATTTTATGCAGATCAAGCGAAGAAGAAGGCCGGGGAGTATAATGACGTTTGACTGTTACAATTACTCCTGGACCTTTTGCATAAGTCACTACTTTAGATGAAGAACTAGTGTCAGCCACCTGAGTATCTTCACTATTCAACCGAAAATTCATGTTTGCTGAATATGTTACAGTATTAGTAGATAGCAAATTGATATCGATAATATGGTATTATGCTGATTCGCATTACACTACTTCTATGCAGTAAGTAGTGAAACATGCGATCGCGTAACTACACGCAATTAGATTCCATATGCGGATGATGAAAACCACCGAGTTCCTAATCCCTTGCCTCCTTAAGCGCCTGTAAATCCTTTTTCCAATTCGTCAAGTCACAATGTAGACAATATCATCCGCCAATTCTCTGAGCCCCTTGCGCTCTTTAGGTATTGACGAAATAGTCCTTCGACAGGTTGTCACCCACGTTCCCAGTACATACATACATTCATCTTTATTCGAAAATCTTCCTAATATCGTCCAAACCCTCTTTTACCGCAAGTACACTCCACCATTTACCCGTATTGCCATTTGTATCCAAGGCATCCGAACTTGGAATGGTCTTTGAACGATCGTCATTCCGGATCACGACTAAGTATTGTGGGGGGTTTGAATCAGAGAGACCAGTGACTATAGAGCGAGAAGGACGCATTTTCCATGCTCTGTAGGCGAAGTTTTTGCGTGGGAGTGATTTTGAATCGGGTTTGGTAGATGCGGATGGAGATGTGGATGAGGGTGAGGACGAGCATGGAGGTGAAGATGAGCGAGTGATAGGTGAGGCTCGTGCAGGTAGAGGTGAGTAGGCTTGATGGCCAAAGAATAGGAGTTGAGATTGTGGAGTTGGATTTGGCTTTCTAATATCAGTACTCATTGGATCTAGAGACCTCGGAGCTGACCCAGTAAGAGCTGGAGTATGAATTTCAGATTGAGGTAGCGATGGTGGTGAGGGTGCAGGAGATCTGTAGGCACGGTCACTGGATGAATCAAGGTGAGATTGTGGATCGGTGAATTTCTTGGGGAGTAAGATGTTTGGACTTGTATCTCGGGGAACGAGAGGGCGTGGGTTAGTCGTGGGAGGAATGGATGATGACAATGATGCCGATTTAGGAGGAGATGGATAGGCGTCAGAAGGCAGAGATGGCATCAGGGTATCATTCTCGAAATCGCTAGCGAGCTCACTTAAATCGCGAGTGAATGAAGTGTCGCCACGGCGAGAGCCTGTGTATTGATTTTGTGACGTTGATGAAGTGGACGCTGGAGGAGGAGATGTTGGATTCAGAATAGAGCTTATGCGTATTCTCTTTTTCGTTGGATCGAGCCCAGTCATTTCTGGTGATGCAGGTAACGTAGACTGGTGAATCTCTGTGGGGAAATGGGTGGAGATATGAGACGAGGGGCGTTTTAGACTGTGACTGTGAGTTTGGTCACTTTCGTTGGTTGGCGCTGGTGAATACGGGTTTGGAGTTGAAGTAGTAGCACTAGAATACAGCTTTTTCGAGTCGAAAAAACGATTGAGACTAGCAAGTGTAGTTATAGCCGTATGTTCCAATGTACTGAGATCGGGCGGTGCTGTGGTCCTTGGAATAGGCCGAGGCAAAGTCAAGGGTGATGAAGCCATGTAGTTTGGATGATACTGAGAATACCCCGCGCCTCTTTCTTTGATCGGTGGTAATCTGTGTCCCGCCCTGAATTGTGTCGTACTTGATCTTCCTGTGTCACCACCGAATCCAAAACTTCTGACAGCTTGTTCAATGTCCTCAACTTTCACGGGTGTATTGAGCAAAGAATCTTGTAAAGAGGCAGCGTTGGTTTGATTGAGAATATAATGACGGGATTTTGCAATATTAGGGATGCCGTGATTGTATGAATTATTCCTGATCAAGGGTGACATTTCTTCCTGGCCTTCGTCTTCAGATTCGTATTCTTCTTCGCTCTGGGAAGACGCAGTCAAGTCGATGACTCTCTCCTCTATTTCGTCGGAAGCGGACTGGAACTTTTGCGCACTGGGCTGCTGCTCCATGATGTATGAAAGACTCATTATATTGGCATGTTTATCGTTCTTTGCTCTTATTAACGGGTCCTCCTTCGGCCTCACAGAGTTTGAACCGTTTACCATGATACTCTGATTCGAGGCATGAGAGCCCAAGGTACCGGTGTTAGAATCTTGCAGATGACGATCAGAACAATCAAAAGCTTCAACTCTTCTATTGACTGATTTTCGGACTTCGAGTCCTTTACTTGCATTATGTTTTGAGGTTTGGCTTTGTTCTGGTCGCAAAGCTCCCGGTGTCCGAATCCTGGATCTGTAAACAGGTCTTTGAAACGGCGGTGATTGTGGTCGTGCTTGATTTCCAAATCTTCGAATAGATATTCTTTTGCCCTGTGGTCGTTGTGATGGGGGGTTAGTGCGAGGAATATTAGGCTGAGGAAGAACTGGTTGCTTCTTCCTGACGGGTATAAGAATTTGGCCATCTGTATTGGGCACGGCCTCGTAGGTAGTCATGATTATTTTTGATGAATATATGATTTCGATGTTCTATGTAGTGTTGATGTTTTTGATGTTGAAATGGAAAATGGGATGGCAAGAGAGGCGATGAAAGCTTATATAGCTGCGTCATGATCTGTGTATGTGATTCATGAGGGAGGCGTTGACTCCAATGTGAATACTCCTCCGCAGTGGTGAAATCGTTTTTTATGTTAGTATTCACGATCGATGCTCTCAGATATTTGTTTTCGTCGAGTCATCAAAGAATTCATGTATACAACGTCTGTGAATCATAAAATAAATAAAATTGTTGATATGGGGTATGTTTGCTTTGAGTCATAAACCCGCCCGTATCGACTATTCGATGATCCGGAGGGCCTCTGATTGAAATCACTATAAGAGAAAAGTGTGAGAGTAATTAATATCCCGATTAACATGGTAGATTTATCCTACAAGATGGTTCTGAACGATGAAGCTTCAATGAAAAACAACAGTGGATGCGAAGCCATAATTATTCTACTTCGTGATTCTGCCCCGCATATCTCTACCTTTTGCTTCTAGTCGATTCATTTGTAGATGTGTTTCAATTTCTCATATTTTTTCGAGAAATTCGAGTCCTCGAGCGCCAACTGCTCTATCCGGGCATTCTGCTCTTGTTTCACTATTGGCCCTTTCAGCTTTCTTTCACGCTGCTGCGCTACATGTACCTCATTTGATAATTTTGCAGTGCGCGACTCATTTTCCCCTGTGGTCCATATCATTATTTAGCGCGGCTTCCGCAATCCCATATTACCTTGAATGGTGGCTACGGCTGTACCTGATCTTCAGCTAGAACTTTTTCGGGGAAGCGCTGTGAAAGCATGCTGTCCAGCTAGGTCTGTAGAACATGTATCTTTAATGTAATGATCGAGATTTTGACACTGTCGCTCCACGTCATTTTGTGCAGGCACACTCGACTCTCTTAGGATTCTCAGAAGTTTCGAATGTTTCGCTTTCCATGTAGCATAAAGCGTTGTAGATGTTATAAGTGCATACCCAAAAATATAATAATCATTTTGTGTTCTCGACTCAGTGGCTCCAATCATTGTCCCGGCCCATGTTCGACGCAATATAGTACCATTTTCATATCGACAGAAAGGGGGCGGAGGTAGCGCTTGGGTGGCCACCTTTTGGCATTGCACACTTGCTACTTGAGTTGGCTTTAATTCGATTCCAAGTCAGTAATCGGCAGTAACATCAATGGCCCACCTGGTTTGAGAAAAACACACCTGTTCTCCTTGACAATATTCTATATAGTCCTTGGTCGCAGTCCAAATAGCTAACTTCAACGCGAAATATGATATAACAGTACCAACTATAATGGCAACTGCAGCAATGGTTGTTGCTTTATCCCAAGTTATGAGATGCTTGACGACTCTTTCCAAAAGACTGTTCATCCAAGAAGGAAAAGCAAGTGTAAACAGGTTCCTCGAAGTGAAATAGCCAGCTCGAGTAAATTGTTTGCTAGTTGCGGCTGACTGCTGTGCTTGCGGGGTTTGTTGTCCCATTGAAACTTGGGTTGGAACTTGGGTTTGACATTGCACACTTGTGGATGAGGGCGGCATAGAGGGGAGTTTCCGAGAAGATGATGCAACTGGTGAATCACTGGTATTTTTCTGCTGCTTTGGAGATGTTTGGAGTGATATAGAAGGCAGCATTCTTGTTTGATCCTTCATGCCAGAAACATAGTAATAGAAGTGGTCTTTTTCCAACACTGAGGGGGAACATTGAATATCTATGCCGCTCGTCACACAGCACAGCAGCTGAGCCTTCAACCGTACACAGCCTTGTTGCACATTATAGCTTCGATTAATCAAATTGTAGGAGATACTTGGAAATTATTGTTCGAAAGTATTCTCTACTCTACAAAAGGGATCGAGCACTTTCAAATAAAAGAAGATCTAGATTACCTATCGTCCTATCCAGAGTATGAACGTAAAGATACCACTACCAAGACTCACCTCTTACTTGATAGAAGAAAAACATCGAAATCTCGAGACTCTGTATCATCCAAAGCTCAGGAGGCATTGCATGTACTTCTCCAAGCCTTTGCGGCGATGAATATAAAGTAATTGACAGGTTGCATGTATCTCAGCTCATCAATGGGGACTCTTCATTCTTTTCCTAGCCCCCAGCTGTATATTCTCTGTTTACAGTCGGAATGATGGATTGTCATCGACGCTCAAAACATACAAACTGTACTCATACTTGCCCAGGGTCTTTATATGAGTGGTGAGGTTCAAGAATCGGTGAATACGAGATGAGATGTACCGATTCGAAAACTCCAAAAGTCACGAAATGTGTGTAAATGAACACACCAGGAATTCAAAGCAAACATACGCCTGTCAAGTTGTGATAAAGTCGAGTCATTTGGTTGGGATCGATGAAAAAAAAACATGAATGTGATAACAAGGTTTTTAAAGATTAGACCCAAGGAAATTTGACATTCTACTTCCTTAGCGGTAAGAGTTCTGGAACCTACTTACCGCACCCCTGTGACAAATGTGACAAAATCCCTGCAAAATTCATGTTTTTCTATATAAACTAAAATACTATATAATTAATTTAATTATTGATATTAAATTACAAAAACTCTTTAGTAAATAATATAAATCATTCTTTATATATGAAAAATTTTAATTTATTTTTAAATATTTTTATTGAAAAGTTATATAAGCTTTTAGTTGAAAAAGTTCAGAATTTTTAACTTGTAACACTTTTCCCATACAAAATAAGCGAATTTTTCGAAAATTTTCGAACTTTCAACGTTAACCCTTCAAAAATACTATTATAAAAATATTTAAAAATAAATCATATATTTTTTTTTGGATAATTTAAGTAATTTTAAATCTTTCTATAATACTATATCAATTTAATCTCATATAGTCATAAATAAACCAGGGTATAAAAAGCTGAATAATCGTATATTTTAGTCGGAAAAGCGTACATGTGCGGTGAGTAGGTTCCAGAACTCTTACAAATCCCGTGCTCTCAATCACATCGTATCGTAATCGCGCCACAGAGCAATCCATTTTTCTTCATTGCCCAGCGCAATCATGACCTATCCTCCTCTGCAACTCCACTTCATCCTCATCCTACATATCTTCGTAGGAAGAATCATGGATTCTGGCTCCGAAAATCGAGGTCTCGACCTTGAGAAGGAGTTGACATGCTCTGTAAGTCGAGAATTATTAAAGTCACCAAATCCTAAAAACAGACCTTACCCCGCAAAACTCCATAGGGCTGGGCTTGAAGCCGCATTTGCATCTCGAGGAATAGAGTATTGGTTTTAACTGGTCATAGATTTGCACAGAGGTTTTATATCAACCGTTAACATTACTCGATTGTTTACACACCTTCTGCGGCTCTTGTCTCAAAGAATGGTTTTCCTGGCAACTTGTCTCCGTGAATAATGCACAAACACCCATTCCACCCGGCGGTACGCCATATACATGCCCATCATGTCGCGCACCAGTTCGAGATACGAAGCACAGTTCCTACAATAGCGACGTTACTGGAGATGTTTTTTGGCGCGAAGTCCCAGAAAGGGTAGGACAGCTGATGAGAAGGAGGAAGTTGCTGCGAAGTACAAAGCTGGGGATGAAGTGTTACCTAAATGGGAGCAGAGAGACAGAAGTTCGAGGGAGAGACGCTTGGAGGATGAGGATCGAAGGCTGATGGATGAAGTAAGAGATTTAAGTTGAGAGAAGTGGGGGTAGAGAGTTCAAGAGGCAAGGAGGGAAAAAGGAGACGAGAACGAGATGGGGAAAGATCGCATAGTCGAGACCTCATTCGAGTCGTGATCATAGTAGGGATCATAGGAATACAGATGACACCGATAGACGGCGGCGAAGGGAAGAGCATCATGAAAGAAGAAGAGCTCGACAAGGAACCTCTGCGTTGAGGCCAGAACCCGACCGCAGCGACTCTGAAGCCCGACGAAGAGGATATAGTGAAACTGAATCGATAAGGCGACATGAGGAAACTAGCCGGTCAGCGGCACGACAGATCGAACATCAATCATCTTTACGGTCACTAATTAGCTCTTCTGACATAGATTCTAGAGAGATGGAAGAGGAGATTCTACGACAAATTAGGGAGGAAGGTTTACTGGACGGAATTGACCTAGAGAATATCGATGTTAATCAGGAGGATCAGATCAGTGAGAGAATAGCAGAAGCTTTCAGGCGGCGACAAGAAGAGAGATCGAGACCCGATTTATCTAGAAGAAGTGAGCGTGATACGGCGGACAGACGAAGACGGTCTCCTCGAGCTTCGCTCACGGATTCTGGGAGAGAGAAACCTCTGGTGATGATGCTCCCAGAACTAAAGGCGACGCAGAATATCATCATCCTCGCCAAGATCGGGTAGTTTAAGCAATGAGCAAAGCAGACCTCCGCCGTCTATAAGTGCCGTAACCGCAAGCCACTTAGATGTTGGTCTAAATTCTGGAGGACGGAGACGACAGAGAACCTTAAGCGCGCCACGGAGCTCAACAGCACCTGTACCGGTAGTTACGCCCGAAACAAGACCTGCCGCTCGGTCGCAGACAGATTTGAGCACTATACCTCGGACCTCTTTCGTGCAAACATCACAACCTTTTAGGGGCCCATCGAGGAGGAGCACTGACTCCAATGTGCGACGATTGAGTGAATCATCAACAAGTAGGGAACCACAACCACAAACAGCCTCCACTACAAGAACATCTAACAGTACAGTCGTTGCGTCTCCCTCTGAATCGACACCAAGAACATCAAGCAACAGCTTGTTAGAAAGATCTCGTTCGGACGATATGCCTGAACTACCTGATATACCTGATATACCTGCTCCATTGAGCATTCGTGCTAATGCCCCAGCCGATATTTTCGTGGCCTCTGCTGTTCCTGCATCTGTTCCATACATGGATGAATCACTGATTCCTGCACCGCTTTCACCTCATACTCCTACTCATCTAGCTCTCTTCGATAAAGCTGCTGCACTAGCAAGTGGTAGCAGACCAAGTTCTTCTCATTCTGTGGGATCTAGACCACGAACGCAGCTTTTATCCCGAACCTTCATATTATGTAGAAGATGTCAGAAAAACTATATTGAGTATGAAGTGCACTATAATTGCTCAGCTTGTTGCGTGGCAATTACAACATCTGTCTCTCATGCTATCGTTCCGGTGCAGGATGTCTGCATTGGTTTGGATTTGGCTATTCAGCATGGACAAATTGGGAAAATCAAATGCAAGCGGGAAAAATACCGCAAGGCGCAGATAGGCCACATATGCTCACAGCAAATCGCTACTTGGCACCAAAAAATGGCTGCTGGCGCGCGGATGGTCGCAAGACTCTAACTACAAAGATCCCAGAAACGTCTGCAAAGTGGTGCATTCTGTGCAAGTTGTTAGCATGGACAAATGAATGTTACTGGCGTTGCGAATATTTGCAACCATGGTGATGGGGATTTTGCAATCTCTCGTCAACAAGGCAGATCATGTACACATTTCTTCTACCGCTGAACTATAAACCATCGGAATCATACACGCCTCCCTATCTCCAATGCATGTCAACAACTTCCACAATCGGCAACTATTCTTCAAGGACCTGGCGTTGTAGACGTGGGTAACTTTAAACCTCTCACCTTCTCAACCAACTGTGATATCTGTCGATATCCCATCCAACCTTCATCCACTCGCTATCATTGCTACTCATGTACTAGTGCTGTCCCAGACACTCAGCCTGGAGATTACGATATCTGCACAACCTGCTATCCCAAACTCGTCACATCTCGTCGGATCAGTGTCGAGAACGGCCACAATGGTTGGCGGCGTTGCTTACAAGGTCACCGAATGGTTATTGTAGGATTTGAAGATGACCGCGGGGGCCAACGTAGAGTAATAGTTCAGGATCTAGTTGGAGGTCATAGTCTTGATATCGAACCCATGCTTTACCCCTCAGCTGATCATACTGCACCCGAGCTACAGAAATGGAGCTGGGGTCAAGATAATGATACTTTCGTTCGACTCGTCACCACGGATCCATCGAAAGTTGCGCCGACATCAGTCCCTGGGCTAACGATTGAAAGATCGTTCCCACCTGATGGCGGAATTGGGATGTCAAGTTTAGCAATTTGGAGTTGGTGGCCTGCGGAAGGTGCGAGTGATGAATTAATGTTTCCAAAGGGGGCGGAGGTAAGGGAATGTAAGGATGTCAATGGAGATTGGTTTTGGGGATGCTATATGGGCGCCAAGGGATTGTTTCCTGCACCGTATGTGAGGGTTTTGGAGGATTGGGAAAAATTGCTGGGGTTTAATGACAGGTCAAAATATAGCAGCATTGTGTTTTCGTTTGGGTTATTTGCATATACTGTTTTGGCTGGAAATCATGTTCGGGGTGAATGGGAGAGAGACACGACGTTTAATGATATGCACGATCTATGAGATTTGTTGATGATTTGATGAGAGAAGACTTTGAATGCCAAGTATAATATTCGCAATCATTTGACCCTAGCGGAGCTAGAGATCATATTATGAACAATACAATAATTGACTTTTTTGGTACAATGAAAGGATTCCATTACTTTTGTACTTCAATTATTTCATTCCTTTGAACGTCAGACCTGAACAACTAAAATTGAATACCCCTCCAACAAATCAAAACTCTATCCACCGTCCATAGATCATCCACAAACCTCATCCACCACCGCGCAATCACCGAAAGATTAACTACTCTCCCAACTCCTCTTTCCTCCCAACGCCTTCATCACCCCCTCACTTCCTGCATTCCCTTTCCTTGACATCCGAATGTACCAAGCCACTTGACCCACTAAAATCCAAACCGCAAATTCTCCCAGCCCGAAACGACGAATAAGTTCGCGGCAACATAAGTAGCGGAGACCGAGACACGGTGAGAAGGAAGAACGTAGAGGGTTGCGAGCGTGCCCGTCAATACCTATGAAAGCCCATGCGACCATTTCGGACTCCGGGGTGGAGAGACAGAGAGAAGGTTGTGTCGAGGAGCGTGGAGGGTTCGCGGGGGACGGCAGAGGTGGAGATTACGAGGTTGAGGTGGGAGGCTGGGACGCGGGAGGTGGTGAGGGAGACTGGGGGTGGGGAGTGCTGGGAGATTGGAGGAGGGTGCCGTGCGGATGAGGTAGAGGTTCCAGCGAGTGTGGGTAGGGGATTAGTGGTGCGGATATCGATGTTGATGTTGATGTTTGGATGAGAGAGATGTAAGAGAGTTTGTGATGACTTCATGCAAAACACGCGAATTTGAGGATGGGGTCGAAAGGGAATCCGGAGCTTGGGGGATTTCGGTATTTTTCAAGAACACGAGGGCGTGTTTAAGATTTGTGGAGAGAAGAGATGCATGTTCATTGGGGAAGAGGCTGTGCGTAGGAAGGCGTGATCAGAGGATTGAAGACCCAGATCTGAGATTCGTTTTTGCGGGATCGATCGGAGAAGAGGATGGTGTAGAGCTCGGGAATTGGAGAGTGTGGAGGACACGTGGCGGCGAAGAGGCAGTGTCTGGAAGGTGTGTTGTGGGGAGCGAGCATTCGACTATATATGGGATTACTGTATGGAAGATGTTCGTAGAGACCTTGGAATTAGAGTTTCGGAGATGGTTTCCTGGGGGTGATATAGATTTGAGTCCCTCGGACGAGGAGGAGGAATTGACGTCATTGCACCCTTTTATTCTCGGCAATTTCTCAGGAGGGCAGATGGGAGTTTGCAGTATTTTCGCTCCTTGTGTCCCCGTTGGATCATCTGGAATTGTTAGTATCTCGCATCACTTTCCGATGAGAAACTCACGAGATCAAGTAGATTATGTCCTGATATCACTTGAGTGAGATATAGCAGACGATATTCAATGATCGAAGAGCCAGCAGTGAGTATATACGTAATGGACACACAAGGACGCCAATCCTCAGAACAAATACTAAAGCAATTGTTAGAAAGAGATTACTAACAGCCAAACAGAATTTCTTTCAAAAAATACCTATATCAAATAGCTCTTTCATACGAAATATCTTCTACTATCCATATGTTGAGTCATCACCGAAGATCCACACCCAGATAACGAAAATCGAGGGGTTTTACGGTAGATCAATAATCTAGGAACCCCCTGCATGTCAAAACCGGAAGGTCTGGATTGACCACTGATCTACCATTTCATAGACGCTCTAGACAACATGTATGAAGAGGGAGATGAATGTGTCAGACAATGATAACATAAATGCTTAGGTACATAAAGTGGGAGGGGTCGGGGAAATTTCAGTGAGTTCGATGTCTAATTTTCCTTTTGAATCCTGTCTGCCCTACATCTTGATGGTTTGAGAGCTTGAAATCTATATTTACCACCAATTTCATCTCAGTATTATATTAATTTTCACTCAGTAGTTAAGTTTATTGGAAGTTCAATACTGCTGTTCATTAGAAAAGGGTGAGGTATTATACAATTTGTTTTTAAGGCCCTTGTTGAAGATAGGTCACAGGTGAAATGATGATTTCATCTTGGGGTGGCATTAACAAACTGAGCATCAAAAAGGCCAAAAAGTCATGTGACTAGCATGAGAAATCAATAGACTCGCACCCAAATAATTACTAGAAGTGATTGCATATAAGTCGAAACAGCAATTCAACCACTATCAACAATGTCAATCTCAGAACTAACTCTTCTTCAATTCCTCATAGTGAATCTCCAATCTTTCCACCTACCCACAGAAAACTCCACAAAGCAAAAACATTGCAGAAACCAAAAGAAACAATTCAAAAAATCACACAGAGCAAAATCTTAGTATGGTGTACCCAACCACCAAGGGTCCACACCAACTTCATTGATCCCAAGTTTCCCTTGCGATACTCTTGCAAGGTTTTGTAATTAATAGATAAAAGTCGGACCATCTGAACTGTCAAGTACCTGTGGTTGATCAGACAAGTCGGCCACGACCCGAGCGCTCTAGAAACTGAAGGTGGGACTCTTATTTGTTGTTATGTCCTTGGTATTTGTTCAGGGTTGGTGAATTGAATTTGTATTAAATGACTCTACGTGTCTGAGTAGGTATCTGAAGTTTTTTCTTTCTCGGGACTGAGGGTATTGAAAGAATTACCTATGTTCATGGAGAATATCTTGATCAGTTGTTCGAGAAAATGGGTAGAGAGCTTGTTGTCTGTCTTGTATTCACACTTTCACAAAGCACCAGATTTGGGTATTTCATGTTAGTTGTCTACATACGAGATTTCGCAGATCTGTACTTTGTTTCATGTTATTTCAGTATTTAATTGTTATTTATATGATGGTTCATGTTTGCAATTAGTCATTGAAAGCTAGCTTTATTGAAGGATCTCAAAGCAATTCCACTGATCGGAATGATGTCCCTCCCCGCCAATCTGTTTGCCGCAAATACTAGAGGTATGAACGAGGATATCTATCAAACTCCTAGTATGTTCAAAAGGGATTTCCTCCTGATAAAAACAACCCAATGCTGCAAAGCAACCTAAACCTCTCCTCCGTATCAAACCCACAAGAACTCCCAAATCAATGTGATTACTTCAAGGTTTATATCTGTCATCAAAACGCATTTTGTCTGAAATCGAGACACCCAGGATTCCTGTTCCTATCCCTAATTCCAGTCCTCACAAAAAGACCTCTACTTTCGATCCCTATCATAGTCAGTACACAAGTCCCCTCCCAATCAACAATTAAAAGCCCAAAGAAAATCCTAACATTACCAACCCCCCTCCTCTCGCTCCCCCCAACAAACTCAAAACTCCCACATTAACCAAACTCAATCCCGAAAGTACAATAATCCCCTCCCTGACCCAGCCTTCAAATTCCACAACCACATATGCAAAATAGCACGTCAGGAAAATCCCATACAAAGCCATGAGCATATATTTTGTCAGTTTAGCTGTTGGTTGCCAACAAGTCTTTTTATTCCTCAGAGCGGTCTTACAATCCCGCATATCTTCATGATTTCTTTCAGTTTTGTAATTCCGCACTGCGTCGAATTTGGCAGAATGCTTGACTGAGAAACGTCTCGGCAGATGTGGGAATAGCTTCGAATTCTCCGATCGCTTGGTTAAGAAGTCTTTCGGGAGAAATAGGTATACGTGTGAGAAGAGCGCCGATAGTGTTAACGGCCTTGTTTAGGAAAGAGAAAATCATGATGGCTGTGAAGCAGGCGGAGGAGATGATGAGAAATTGCTGTGCGGAGGATGAAAGATGGGTGTTGAAGGGCGTGAAAGGTAGGCGAGGAAGTTCTCGATGCTGTGGAGGAGCGATGCTAGGATTGTGGTGGTTGTCATGTTGTCTAGTTGCTGGGATGAGTTCTCGATTGTGGTTGGTTGATTTTTGATGAACTGGCAAATACTTTGAATGTGATGAAGTTGATTTTTGGATCAATGAGATTTTATAAACAAGATTTGATGTAGAAGCTGGAAGAGTAATAAAGATAAAGAACTTCTTCTAGTGAAACTATGAATCTGATAAAGACTTTGCAAGCCGTATAAGATACCTTGAACATTGGTAGGTGCATTAGATATACTCACTTAAGTGCCGTATAAAAGTCTGGCGAGAGGTCACTTGATTGTTCAACTACGGCCAGCAATTTTAACAGGTAACTATACCCTCTAATTCCAAACATCAGAGATTCGCTATCTCGAGAGCATCAACGACGAGGCGGCCGAAGTTTTGGATGATTATTTGAAGTTAGATTCTCATTATTACATAGTTTCAGTCTCCATCTGGTTCAATAATGCAGTGATTGTATGAGAGGGGTTTCGCATTCCTTATGTGAATTAATAAACCAGTGGATTTGTCCATGTAAATCATGTCCTGAACCATGAATACAAATCTCATCATGTAGACTAATCGTATCCATCAACAAATACTCCAATTTTGGTGCCAGCAACGAACACACACTGTTCTTCCAAATTCTAAACCACATATCCCCAAATAATCCCTCCACCTCCATCAACGCATCTCCATGGATTCGGCTGTTGGCTTAACCGTCTACCCTGCGAGTAAGAAGCTTACCCCTTCCGAAGCGACACCCAGTGACGAGGTGCTTTGATATCTCTGTTCCATTGCTGAGTAGGTCTATTTTTTGTATTTTAAATTGCTCTAGACTTTGTTTTAAGATCCTGACGATAACATGAAAATCCATGGCTTCTTTTTTTCTGCATTCGATTTTTGTGGAGATCTAACGAACTCCAACGTGTAGTGAATCTTGAGTTTTTTTCTCTCTCGGATTTTTCTCTCGCTTTTTGTGGAGATCTAACTCTATCGTGTAGTGAATGAATCCTTAACTTTTCTCTTCTCACTTCTTCTCCCTCCAACCCAATCTTACAAGTCAACACTCGAAGGTCTTCCTAGCTTAACCAAACCCAAAGACCCTCTCGACCCCCAAATCATCTCCAATCCTCCTCTTCCCCAACTCAAAAACTGTACATACACACACAGCTACAAGAACTCTATCCAATTAAGAACCTATCCATATAGAAATCCCACATTACCGTCCTCCCCGCTTCCGATTTGACTTCCCAAAATTACAATCCAGTAAGTGATAGTACTCGTAACAAATCCGACACCATCCTCTTTTGCAATAACATCACTATCAAGATAATACAATATATCCACGCAACCTATATCTAAATATGTGAAATTGATTATCATCTCAGCTCAGACTGCAAATATAACATAGCATGATAATATGTTCCTAACATAGTTATCTATCTATCTATCCATCCATCCATCCAGCCATCTATACAGCTAGCTAGCTGAAACAACGCAACGCCAACATCAAGATACCTCACCTATAAAGCTAAAACATCACAGATAAACAACAAAACAGAAGAAACAAGCAAAAGAAAAATCCCAAACAGTGCCCCAAAGCGTTCAAAATCCTCGTGAATGTCTCCAAGAGTCATTATATCCAATTCCATCATATTCGCATTAAAATCCAAATCCTCCCCTCTTCCAGTAAGATCTCTAAGTCTACATCCCCCTGTGACTCCGTCATATCTCACTTATCCTACCTAGGTAGTTAGGTACTCAACCCCCCATTTAGCACATCCTTCAATTTTTACCTCTCTCTCCAGCTAGATTCGCTCTCCAATTCTCAAATCCAAAATTCCAATTCCAAATCTCGACTCTCCATTCCGTATCAACTTACATTTCTTCTCTCTCCACTCGACTCCCACACCCTACCTCTCCCCAATCTCTTTCCCTCCTTTCAAAATCACTAACTCCTCTCCCCCCCTTCCTCCCCCCCCATCCTCCCCCCCCACCACCCCACCTCCCTCCCCCCCATCCTCCGCAACAAACCCCACAAAACCCCCCTCTATACCTCGTACTTCCCCTCTTCTTTCCGCACTCCACCCACCATCTTCGTCTTTCCATTTCCAAATCTTTGAAACTTTCGCTTCCTCTCTCTATCCCATCCTCTCTATTCAAACTCCTCCTACAAAAGATAATCCCACTAGTCGCTCTCTGTCTCGAAGTGGAAGTTGACATTGGTATCGCATGGCCACAGCCAGTATATCTGTATTGCGTTTCAATACACATCCTTATCTAACCTCGCTATTGCTTGCGGGATGTAGGATGCGAATAGTAGTGGAGATAGTATCGTGATGTTATATGATTATGAAATGGTATATGTTGTGTATAAAGATAAAGCCGAAAGCCATAAAGCTGCGTATTGCTTATTCTCGTCACTGAAATATAATGTATCTCCGAATCTCGTAAAATTATTCGTCTATCCTATCTTCCGAGTATAAGGCAGCGATGACGCTGGCTCGATCAGCTTGACGATGAAATGGTTGCCTAAATCTCTCTCATCAAGTCTTAGTCACAATTCCTCTCCTCCAACTTTCTTCTCTGATCTTCTCCACTGGTAAGCTGTATACATATGACGGCGAAAATTGAGTTGAAGTATATTGATCATGTAGTGGCAATAAAGAAAAACATGTATTCAAAACGATGGGAAGAACTCTTATATATTCATTCCCTCAAAGCTTTCGATGAATCACTGCACTCGCATCATTTTTCACTCACTTACTAAGTCGATTTACCCTACTTTCGGGCCACCCCTGTTTTGGGCCACTTTTCGATCACTTTTTATACCAAAAATGGAATTTCTAACTTTCTTATTTATAAATAGAATATATTAAAAATTTATGTATATATAATTCAGATCGTTTTGAATTTATTCTGAAATTTTTAGATTTTTAGGATTTTTCTGTATTGAAATCTAAAGCTTCAAAATATCGATTTTTTAATTTGTATAGGAATTATATATAAATTTGAAAATTTTATAAAATCTTTAATAACTTTTTAACAACAATTATTAAAAGAAAACTGTATATCTTTTTGAAAGTTTTGAATTCAAATCTATATAGAAATTCAAAAAAGAATTCAAAAAAATTAACAGATATAGAGATATAGTTAGTATATAGTGAGTTTAAAGTAGTATAAATAATCCCTGTCATTTTGAGGGTACCCCTTTAAATATTTATTTATAAGAAATTTTCTATTTTTTCTGAATCCTCTAAATAAAATATACTATAAATTTATAATAAAATTTATAGTTTATTTTTAGCAATTTTTATTAGAAAGTTATTAAAGATTTAATAAAATTTTCAAATTTATATATAATTCCTATACAAATTAAAAAATCGATATTTTGAAGCTTTAGATTTCAATACAGAAAAATCCTAAAAATCTAAAAATTTCAGAATAAATTCAAAACGATCTGAATTATATATACATAAATTTTTAATATATTCTATTTATAAATAAGAAAGTTAGAAATTCCATTTTTGGTATAAAAAGTGATCGAAAAGTGGCCCAAAACAGGGTGGCCCGAAAGTAGGGTAACCGACTTAGTACCAGTACTATATTGACTTCATCATCCTCATGATGATACTAATAATATTAAATAAGAACGATTCTAAATATGAACGATACTAAATAAGAATAATACTAAACAACAACGATACTAAACAACAACGATACTAAACAACAACGATACTAAACAACAACGATACTAAACAACAACGATACTAAACAACAACGATACTAAACAACAACGATACTAAACAACAACGATACTAAACAACAACGACAAGATTCAGCTAAAAAAGAAGAGCCTCAAGCTAAAACCCTAGTAACCCAAACCACGAAAAAGCATATATTCAAAATCCGAATAATCCTAAACAAGACCATAAGATTTACACAAACAATAAAAGCGCCGCTGGTTCAAAATCAGCAACACCTGGTATCCATTATGACATAAGAATACCTACTTGCGAGAATATTACTAGTATCATCGTAACACCAGAAGGGTAAATATCTAGACATTTGGAAATAAACACTACTAAATAAACACTACTAAATAAACACTACTAAATAAACACTACTAAATAAACACTACTAAATAAACACTACTAAATAAACACTACTAAATAAGAAAACCCCCAATATCACACAAGCTTTTAGGCAAACCAGAACTAAGGTTACCCCACCCACCATCGAAGTGAGAATGACCAATAACTCACGCCCAACTGTGCGCGAGGGAGGTATCAGAAGCAAGTAAAATCAAACAAACGGCACCAACTTTGTAAGAATAATCCCAGCCCAGATACAACCTAAATTCACTAGAAAGCATAAACATATAAACATACAACTCGAAATGAATCAACTACTACATTTCAACCATCAGACATTCCATCTGTACCAGAAGAGCTTTAGGGCAACCCCCCTCCCCCCCCCCTTACAAAAAAAAACAGAAAACCACGCAATCTCAATGATATCAACCAACCATTGACATCCATTCAACCAACCATTAAACACTCCATCCACCAATCCGCACCCGGAAAAACTTCCAACCAGACAGCAAGTAGCATTCTACCTAAGTTCCAACACCACCAAGTGAGAAAACTCCACAACTCCCAAACCGGAACAAACACAAGTCACCTCGACCAGAAAAGCCACCTCGACCAAAATACAAACCTCCATAAACCGTACCATCATCTATCATCTACCCCAGAAAAGATCTACCCCAAAAGAGATCCACCCCATCAGAAAACAAAACAGAAAAAAAAAAATCCACCAAGCATCAAACATTCCGACCATCCAATTCTAGGTAAGCCAGCAAGAAAACCCAT